TGTGTGCCTTTGGGATCACAGCGCAGCTTCTCATTGCTTAGGGCACAGCTAAGGCTCAGAGAAGAGAGTTGCTTTGCTGGAGGTCACTCAGCAAGTACCAGCAAATCAGGGTCAGGACAAAGGCCCTTACTCCCAGCCTAGACCCTTGAACCTTATGTCTTCCATGATACAGGAAACTGAAGTTGCTAGGGCCATCAGGGTCTGTCTGCCTCTAGCCTAGGCCCCACAATCAGCTCCTATCTGCAGGGCCTTCTGTTGTCCCGAAGAGCCAGAAGTCACTCCCAGGAAGCTGTGGAGACAAGTCTCAGCAAGGTTAGGACTTAGTTAGCTGGTAGGTCAAAGTTCTACAGGTCTGAAGGGCCTCTGAACAAACCAAAGTGCAAGTCCCTGTGGGATCTCTAGAGCTCTGATTTGATGAGCAGGGGATTATCCTTCGGAGTAATATGAATGATAGAGCCAACAATAACTGAGTGTTTGCTATGTGCTAGGTACTGTTCAAAGTGTTTATACACATTAATAATCAGGCCTCACAATACCAGGAGGTAGTCATTATCTCCATTTCATGTGGAGGAAATGGAGTTCCTAGGTGGTGCAAATGGTAATGAACCAAAGGTTTCCTGGTTCAAGTCCAGAAGCAACTAGGAAGACCTGGTGATCTACTAACAAAATTCAGTCATTGACAACCCCATGGATCAGTTGCAAACCCTGTCTACTCTGAAGTGCATGGAATCAACACAAACTGGGTTTTGGTTTTACCTCCCACCTAACCCTCACTCACTGTCAACTATTCGGAAATGACTCATAGCTGACTCTCTTAGGCTTATCTCTGAGGCTGCAAATCTCACAGGAAGAGACTGTTCCTCTTTCTCCCAAGGAGGTGCTAGTGAATTTGAACCATCAGTTTAATAAGCTTACTCAAAGCTGCCTAGCTAGTGATGGGCTGAGATAGGATTTGAACTCAGAGCTGAAGCTCTTAAGCATCCTGCTCCCCTTACTCATCTGAGCCATAGTGTCTCAGGGAGGCTTTGCTCCCAGCCTCTCATAATGGTTGGTAGCGGTCCTGAGCACTTCGGTTGGACTCTGGGATTATAGACAAGGAGCCTGGTGCAGAGGAGATTGTCAACCAGCAGAGCTGGGCTTAGAACCCATGTCGATCTCACCTTTCAGGACCACATTCCATCCATTCCACCCTTATTGGAGCCCCTGGGTCTTGAAGTAATTTCCTGAGCAGCAGGAAGCAAAAGTTCTGTAACACATGTAACACCCGCCTCGCCCACCCTTTCAGCCAGGTCTCACAGCACTGCTCCCCCCCCATTCAAGGCTGGTCAACTGTGGGAGTTGTAGGAGCGGGTGGCAAAACCTATGAGTCAGCTCCTGCCCAGGACAGAGGCCTTACAGGGGCAGTCTGGGATTAGCTGGAACCCCTCAACTTTCAAAAGTGGAACCCTTTGCATACCCTGTTATCTGATTCTGGGGAGAGAGGAATAAGGGGACCATAGATCATGGCCCTGAGGTGTGTACTGCAATCAATAACTACACCATGACATGCCAGATCTATCTCAAAGGAAGTGTAAGCCGAGTGTTTCTTAGAACAAGGATGACAAAGGTTCCACCTTACCTACGTTGGGCATGTTGTCAATAGGGGCCTGTCCTTGGAGAAGGACATCCTGCCGGGAAAGGTGGACTGTCCTCGAGATAGCTTGACACGGTGACTGTAACAGTGGGCTAGAGCAAGTTCCAAGTCGTGACGCTGGCACAGAACAGAACAAGGTTCAGATCTGTTGTTCATAGAGTTACTGGCAGTCCACGGCACCCAGCAACAACAAAGCACCCTGGCAATGTCAGATTAAGAACAAGTGCTCTGGTGGCTCTAATACAAACTGCAATAGTTCTTGAGACATGATGTGGGTTTGAATAAGGTAGGAGTACAAGCGAAGGAAAGAAAATTCCAGAACTCTCTGAAGGTAAAGTTGGCAGGGCTTTGTGATTTAGACATGAAGCAAATAATCAAAACTTGAATCACCCAAAGGTTTCTAGTTTGGACGACTGGGCAGTTGGTGGTGTCACTAGAAGAATATCAAAGCACAGATGAGTTTCATTTTGGACATGTTGATTATGAACAGGATCAGGCTGTGTGTTCTCTAGCAGTGCTGAGTTGTCCAGGCATGAGCAGAGAAGCAGGCCAGGCTATGGATCCATGGTTAGGGCTTTGCTGGCAGATGAAGTGTGAGGAGAGACCGACACTTGACCCAGTTGACTTGGGAACGAAATAGCTGAGAAGGGGGTTTGCCCCTCCTTTTTCAGTTGCTCCTACAACTCCCACAGGAAGCAGAGCTGTGAGACCTGACTGAAAGGGTGGATGAGGGGGGTATTAACACTTTTTCTCCCTTTGAGCCTTATAGAATCACTTCTGGAGAGGGATGCGGGCCACCTCAAACTTTAGAGACCAATTCTAAGACTCTGGACCCCGGACCAAGTAGCCCCAGGTTTCTCTCAGTTGGAACCAACACATAATCCAACAGCAGGGCTGGTGGGCTGGGCGGAAGATAAGCCTGATGTAAAAACATAAACATGTTCATCTCACACAATACAAGATGGGATGAGGGACATCACTCCTGAATCTGCATGCTCATCTTCCCTGTAACTGGCTGCAGCGTTTCTAACTTCAGCTCCAGATGATCAGCAAAGCTGTAAACTCCCTCTGCTGGGGCTGTTGTTTTTCCATCATTCATGGAAAACAAGGCTCACTCTGGAACAGCTGCCTGAGAATCTGGTTTTGTGTGAGTGAAGTCAAAGCACATGTAAATGTTGGGTTACTAAGTGAATCCTTATGTACAGTGAAGTAATTCACAATATGTTATTTTCCTACCCTGACTGGGTTTGGTTTTGGTGTGTGTGTTGTCTTTTTTTTTCTTTTTAAATGGGATTAGAATTAACAACAACTGCATGTTTCAGTTTAAATCTGTAAACTAAAAACTGGTTGGCCCCTGTGGGACTTAAATAAATCAGATACAATACTCCCAGGTGGTTTTGGGGGGGGGGGGAATGTGGTCATCTTAGGCCCAAAATCCCAAAGTAAACATGCTCATTTGTTTCTTCTGTCTCTTGAAATAAGAGCATCCCATCTTATATAAAAAAAAAAATAAATAAATAAAAATTAAAGAAATATGACTGATGGAGTCACTGGATATTGCAAATGGATAACCCACTTGGCTGCTAACTGAAAGGTCTACCAGGCATATGGGAAGGCCCAGAGAGCTACTTCCAAAGTATCTGTGGAGCGCAGTTCTTCTACTGACACACACAGGGATGCTATGAACTGGAATCAAATCCATGGCAACTGGTAGCTTCCCCAAGTGTTTGGCCCTACTGAATGCTGAGTATTTGCCAAGTCAATGAACAGGATAAAATGTCTCCAGGTTCTCTGTCCTCACCTTGCATCTTTGACACCCCAATGATGCATCAACCCCAGCCAACTCCATCCCGGTTCACTTGCTCAGGATCCTACTCCCATCTTACCCTACCCTCCAGCTGTTCCCCTCATTCCTTCCAAAGCTCGGTTCCTCCTGAAGTCCCCACCTGGATGTGACCCCATTGAGTCCAACTTGAGCGAGTCTTTGCAAATGGAAATTTCCCATCTCATGCTCTCTTGTCCCAAGTCCCTTATCCAGAATCTAGCATGGGGATCCACAACAGAGGTTCTCAGGACATGTTTATTTAGACACCTTTGAGGACAAAAATGCCCACTACGCTAGATGGCCCAGGACTCCACTAAGTTGTTTTCCAGGCTGATCCCACCCCAAACCCTCTCCTAAGGTCTACAGGTTTTCTTCTTGTCATATACTCAAAGGTTTTTCAGGGAGCACCATTTGTTGCATCTGTGAGACATTAAGATAACCACCGTTTAGAATAATCTCCCACAAAGACTAAACACGAATCTCAGGATAACTGCTGAAGGCCAGTTCGCTCTATTCTCCTTGTAGTGATGGAGCTTTTGAGTAGCAGTGCTTCCAGCCTGCAGGCTCTTCCCTCCAGGTCAGCAGGATCCCAGTGAGCCCTGGGCCTCATCTGGATCCCACAGTGGGCTCAGCCTCCCTGTCAAGACCTTCCAACAACAATGCTGCCTGCCCCTCTCTGGGATGCAGCACACAAGATCACTGTGGATCATTCCCTAAATCCCTTGCAGTCCAGAAAGTGAGAGAAGACAATTTAATGATGACTTCCTTGATTTACAGACAACTTTAAAACGGTGAGAAGACAGACATTTCTCTCCATGCATCGATACATTGAAATTCAGGAACAAGCAGTGATCTTTGCTCAGCCTCTGGTCTCAAGCGGCCCAACCTTCAGATTGAGGAAATGTAAATGCCGAGGGGAAGTGGGTGACTGCCCGAGCCGACTGAAGTGGGAGTGAGGGGCAGGCAGCAGAATAAACAAGAATGCATGGGTGCTGCCATGCCTGGGGTAGAAATTAGAGCAGGAGGAAGGTGGGATGATCTTCAGGGGTGTCCTAAAGACCCTCCAGGACTCAGGGGATTCGGCTTTCCCATCCGAACCATCCTGAGGGCCAGAACCAGGCCAGCCTAGGGCTGAGGTGCTTGGGTAGCTGGATGGAAAGAGCCAGTAAGAACCCCAGCAGAAAGAACATGCTGAACACTGGGCTGTATCTTCCTCCAAACACGGAGTTCTTGATGACCTAGCTCTGCCTTCTAAAGGGTAATCCAACCCCCACCTGGAGCTGGGAGGATGGCAGGGGCAGAGGAAGGAGAGATCAATACCATCTAATGCTCATCTATTTGAAACGCCTCTCTTCCCTTCTGGTCCCTCAACCCTAATGCCCTAAAGAGGCACAGGAGATTACAGACCCCATCACTCTTCCCTAATGTGACCAGCTGAATCCATACTTCTAAAGAGAGGAAGAAGAAAAGAAAAACGCCCCGAGGGAGACCCAGGAAGAGTGGCATTTGGGGGAGGGGAGATGTGCCCCCAGCTCGCCTCTGACCAGCCCGTCTAGCTGAGCATCTTGTGCCGATCGAAGACCGTCTTCCGCTGCTCCTGCACCTGCAGCTTCCACCGCTGCTGGGCGCCCTCCACGCGCTCCAGGACTGTGTTTGCTCGAGGGCCACCGAGGGAGGCGGCCATGGCTGCCATAGAGCGAGCGTCCTACACAGGGAGAAAGAAAAGGGATTAGATACTAGAGTCCTGAGCCTTGAAAACCTGACGTGGAAAAAAATGCCCTAAGAGCCAGCCTGGATTCTGCGAGACTGGAAGGCCCAACTGAGGGGTCTGGGCAGATTCTTCCTTTCCACCTCGAGCCCTGAAAGCAGGCCTGGTGGGTATAGTTTGCTGGGGAAAGAAGGTTCTCCAGGAGTACATGGGGTCCAGCTATAACAACACAGCTAACACATGGCTCAGGTTTGGTCTCCAGCCAGAACCCCACGGGCCTACTCCTAATGTCCAAGAGGCCTAAATGATGTGCTATTGGATGATATGTGAGGATAGGTACCACTGTGGTCTCATCCATGGTGGTACCAGGCAGACCACTGTCCACAGGATGTCAGTCTATAAGGATGTGGGGACTTATTAAGGAGTGTGTACAGATGAAGACCCACAGGCTCTGCTGACAGGGGGTACATCTACCTCGACTGCCTGGGGAAGAGGGGGTGTGACACCACTCAGGGGCCCTGGCAAGGACGGAGACTCAGCGCTCTGGGATCCCCATGTGAGCCTGGCCCAGTCCCTCGCTGGCTATCTGAGGGTAGCTCAGCTCTCTCCCTGCCTACCTCCACGGATCCCCCTGCCCTGTGCTCTGTTGTCTAAGGCAGCATCCTCCCCTAATTACCACTTCTCTGCCTCTGAAGCCCTGGAGCCCATGCATTTCCTGCAGGACCCGAACCTGATCTTTGGGGGGAATTAGAGCCGAGGGCCAGGCCCACGCCCCCATGGGGATTTCCTCCCCAGCTCTCCTTGCCTCTCATCTCCTGCCACACACCTCTTAAGGGATTAGCACACCTCTCTAAGCTCAGAGCCGCCCAGTAAATGCAACTTTGCTTCTAATGCCCTGAGCTGGCACAGCTTCTGTCGCCATGCAGCTGCCAGGCTGGGGAAAAGGGGGGCAGAGAGGGGTAGGGCAGGCCAACAACGAGCTGGAAGTTGCTAAGAGGTGGGCCAGAGAGATAGAGGTGAGGGTGAGAGGTAACTCCTCAGAGTTCCGACTAATTCACATTGTGAACACTGCCCAAGGGAAGTTAGAGCTGGTCAAGGCTCTGTCTAAGGTCCTGAGGTGGACAATCCAGATCCTGTCAGTGAGGCAGGTTCAGCAGCATTGGGCAGGGGGCCTGCTTGGCTGAGTCTAGATGCTGGGGTTCTGTGCCTGGGCTCCAGGGAGCACCCTTCTTGACCTGACTCTTCTAGGTCCACTTCTGAGGGTGAACCCAGCCCGTGCCCACAGTGGCTGATAAGGAGGAAGATCCGAGCCACTTAAGAGCTCTCAATTTCTGTCAATTCCTATACTTCTAGAAGCCTACATGCTTTAACTTAATCCAGACTTTCTTGACAATACCACCTATTACCAGTTACCATCAAGCTGATTCTGACCCACAGCAGCTCAGTAAGACAAGTAGAATTGCTCCATGGGTTTACAGGCCTATAAATCTTTACTGAAGCACACTGACACACCTTTCTCCTGTGGAGCTGATGCAGTGTTTGAACTCTTGACTGTCCCATTAGCAAGCAAATGCTTAATTATGGTGCCACCAGGGCTCCTTATGCTCTCAGCACCCAAACCCCCACTGAATTCCAACTCATAGCAACCATACAGAATAGAACCACCCCTCTGGGTTCCAGGCTGTGTATCTCTACAGAAACAGACTGCACACCCTCCTCTCACAGAGCGGCTGGCACCTTCCTTCTGGGGACCAGACAGCAGTCGAGTGTTTAACCACTACACCGCCCAGGGATTATCAGTAGAAACTACACTTTAACTAATAACCAAATGCATGTCTACATATACATACAGAGTAAGAGAGAATTTTTACAAAACAATGCCTCTCCTACCTTGGTATGATGCAGTCTGCGATTTTTTTCTGCTCTCCTGCATTTCATTTTTTTAAAAATGTTAGTCAATAGTCAAACTGCTTTCATGATGGATGGTGACCCATAGTTTGAAAAACATGGTGGGTTTAGTGTTTAGTACGTAGGTCTAGCGAGGTGAACTAACATATATGCAATGCAATTAGTATACTGGCTATAAGAGTAATAGCCCAAGAAGTGCGTGGTCTGACTCTTCATCAGGGCCAGAAGGAGGCATTTCTTCCTCTTCCAGTGCTCATGCTAACCCTCAGACACAGACACCGCCAGGCTTCGGAGGGGGTGGGGCCCACAGGAGGGGAAGGGACTGCAGCACAGGTGGGAAGCCGGTGCTCGGTGCTCGAGCTGCCTGGGGAGCCTGGGCTGGAGCCAAAGGGCACTGTGAGCCCCTCAGAGCCACAGAGCTGTGTGCCTCGTCACCTGCCCACTGCGCAGACAGCAACAGCTGCTTCCGCAGAACCCCCTGCTCAACTCTCCATGCTGCATCTTCTAACCCACTTTGGCTCCTCTGCAAGATGAACAAAAAAATGGACGTAAAACCAAGACCTCCGGCACACTCCTCTGCACAGCGCCAAGACTGCCTATCCTTTTCTCATTTGAAGTGCTTTGCACAGTCGTTGTTATGTGCCATCCAGTCAATTAGCAACCTGATGTACAACCTCCCTAAACCCTACTCTATCCTGTGCCAATCACACCGTCTCTGATACACCCATCCCGATTATCCCAGTCACTGAATCAATCCACCTCATAGAGGGTCTTCCCCTCCTGCGCTGTCCCTCTACCCTCCCAAGCATGATATCCTTCCCGGATCTGAATCCAGGGTCTGGTACCTACCAGATATGACCGTGGGTAGGTCACTTCCTTCCCTGGACCTATTTCCTCCTCTGGACAGTGAAGACTGCCTGAGCTGTTTCTTAATGAGACTATGAATATAAAGGTATTAGCTGGGCCAGCAAGAAGACACGTTCTCCATCAAAAGAATAACAACTAAGATCTCAACTCAAGGATCTGCTGGGCAGGAGATGCAGGTGGAATGCTGGCCCCTGCCAGGACATCATCTTTCAATTCCCTCTACCCTTTTAGAGCTGAGCAATCAGAGTGGCCACCGTTCCCCGTGTCTGTCAGTCTAGCGTCTGCTGCCCCAGTCTCACTCGGGAAGGTGCTGGCTCCACTAGAATCAACATTCTCGTTTTAGGGACCAGACTGGCTTCTCAACCTCCTTATTATCAGTTTCTTCCCTTCTGGGAAGACAGGTCCTCAGACAGGGCCTTGGGGTGGGATAGCCTGGAGGTGACCCCATAGGACGGGGCTGGGGCACTATGAGGCCAGGGAGGGCACCGGAAGCTTCCGCCCTGCTTCTCCTTCACTGCGCTGCACCTTGGGGAGAGCGTCCTGAGGAGGGGAAGCCAAGAGCAGAGCATTAAGGGAACATGCTGAAATTCACCGCATTACCGCAGTATCATTTGTTTTCCCTTCATGTAAAGTCTTAACAAACAGCTCCTAAGTGGGGGAAAGCTGCTGCTGAGAGGCTCTGTGTTCCCCTCGCTAATAGTCTGATTAAAGGTATTAGACTCCACATCTGTTCCAGAGCCGGCCCAGTGGGGCCTGATGCCTGCCTGCTCTGCAGCAGGGACGGTGGGCGGAGGCAGAGAAACACCCCCATTCCTAACCCTTCTCCTCTGAGGCTGGCTGGCTGGGCTATTTGGAGAGGCAGAGTGGCGGTTAGGGGGCAAGAGCTTGGGTTCCTTGGGGGACCCCGGTGGGACCAGACTAGCATGATATTGACAAGAGCCACAAGGTCTCAGGCACTGTGTGCGGCTTCACCCCAACTTCACAACACTGGTATATGGGAACTATTATATATATATTTTTATGGATGAGGGAACTGAGCCTCTGAAGGATGAACTGCCTCTTTGTCCTGGGCTGCCTGTTAAGTGTCTGAGTCAAGCCTGGAGCCAAGGTCTTTGTGTGCGTTATCCCACATCTCAGCTGAGTGTTTCTTCCGTTGTTTCTACTAAGTTGGAGCCAACATGTGAAGTCAAAGAAGGAGGCTGACCCTTTCCTGCAAGTTTAGAGCAAGGCAAAGTGCTGGTGAGGGAGCCAAAGCATCGGGAGCTTCACGCTAAGCGCTCCTGTTCAGGCCCGGAAGGATCTAGATACTCGCGCGCACTAGCCTGCGTTAAGGATAACCCCCCCCCAGGGGCCTCTCAGACCTTCCCAGGTGGAACGTTCTTTACGCAGCCAGGAAGCAGTGGGTCTGAATCAGAATGGCACTGAGTCTCAACTGGGTCTCTTGATAAGAAACAGATAAGGGAAACTCCCAACCTCAGGGGTTTCCCTCAACTCTTCTCCCTCATCTTACAACTGGACCTCGCCATCTTGATCCTGTCAAACAGCTCAGAATGGCCCAAGCACAAAGCCTTTTAGCAAGATGACCACATAGCTTTCCTTCACTTCCCACGGGAGAGTCTAACCTAAACTCATCCAGCTATAGCCGGATCCTACTGCCTCGCTCAGCTGCACGGTTCTCTCCAACACCTGCACACTGCTACTAGAGGCATCTTTTTCCTGTGACAGGTCCAATAACAACCCTCTGCCCAAACACCTTGGCTGGTGACCCTGCTACTTACAAATAAAACTGTCCCGGGAATGGTCTTCTGAGCTGGCTGGAACACACACTCCCAGACTACCTCCTCCTGCTTTCTGCCACCACACTGGTCCACCTGTCCCTGTCCCTTCACTACCTGAAGTGTCCGCTTCTCTGCCAAGCCATGGCTTGTGCTATCCCGGCCTCCCTATCTGCATCGTTGTTGTTAGGTGCAGTCAAGTTGAGATTATTCATCGCAACTCTGTGAACATACCCGATCCCTGATCTATCCTGAACAATCCTCATGAATACCTAAAAAACCTCATTCTTAAAGACACCAAAGACAAGCTTTCACACACAAATTTCACAAGTATAATAGAATTGTTTTTGGTCAAACATTCTTGTAGGTCACATAACCCTGGTGTGTTCACTTGCCACACAAAGGTAGGTAACTTGTGGTTGCTGTGATGCTGAACACTGTGACACTGATGTGTTAAATGTGATAATGGTTACCCATAGTGGACAGTGTTTGGTGGAGCTCCCCAATTAAAACAAGCTTGGAAGCTGAAATGGCTTGCCTCCAGAAACCCTATGAACCTGGAGAAAGGATGAAAATCATGCCAGTGTTGAGGACTTTCATTCATAGGGTTGCCTATGACTCGACGGCACTTAACAACAACAATGGAGTAAAGGCACCCAGTTGGCACAATGATAAAACATTGATGCAAATGACGGCAAAATATGTTTCTAAGCACGGTGGTCAATTTAAAAGTGTGTGCGGCAACGTGTTTAAACATTTGGCTACTAATCAGAGGTCAGTGGTTACAAGCTAGGAAACTCTGGGCAATTCCACTCTGTTCTATACATGAGTCAGAATCAATGAGACACAATAATATGTTGAGTTAAGAACTATTATATCGACTTCAGATTTAGAAAATGGAACCAAAAGGATATGTATGCATCACAGATCACCTGCTTCCAAAGCTATGTCTTTCACTCCTGTGAAGGACCTGGGACGCACCTGACGGACAATCTAGAAACCTAGAAGCTGTTCTGTCGTCAGGGGAGATGAGGCCATCTGCGTGTCCTCATCAGAGTGGCCTCTCTAGTTTTTCCAGTCAGTTCCCCCAAGCTAGGGTCCTTTCTCAGCACAGTGCTGCCCAGACACCCTCAGATGGAAAAGGTGTGTCCTCAGTGGCCCGATTCTTCTCCCCAGTCCCCACATTGCTGTCATCTCTCTGTGACTGCCAACACACCCCACTCCTATGAGAAGCCCAGAACTGTACTCACAGCCACAGTGGGGTCAGAACTCAGAGGACCCCTTCAGAGTGCGCGGCCCCAGCTATGGGTAACTGAGACATCCAGAGCCTCACAGAAACCCTCATTTCTCTCTCTTCAAAGAGGGCCAAACCTGTACATCTAAAAAAGCCCTGTTTGCCGTTTCAGTCCCAGAAAACATGCTTGCTTCCGCCTTTCAAAGGGCGTCTGAGCCCCGGGATTAGGCCTAATGCCGCTGGAATCCCAGGGGAGGCAGTGCACAGCAATCAGGGGCCACTGAGGCTCTGCCAGCACTTTCAAAGGGAACATGACAGGCTTTCATCTCCCTCCACGGACTGGGTCTGAGGCTGCAGGGGAGGCCGCCCCTTCCTCTTCCAGTTCTGCGGCCTCAGGGCCAGAAAGCGCTTGGCTACGGGCATCAAGGGGATGGAGCCCAGGGACTCCCCCTAATCCTGAGAAATGGTCCTGCCTCTAGATCCCACCTTGCTCTAGGCCCTAGACTCCTGGCAGATGGGGGCTAGAAGCCCCTACCAGTCAGATGGGCCTAGGTTTGCAAGGAACCTTGAATGTCTTCTTCTTGGAGTGAAAGTGAGATTCCTTCCACCACAGGGAGGCTTCATCCTTCCTAATTCTTTTCTAAGAGAATCGTTCTTCAGACCATAGACATGGAGACAGCCATAGTGCACTGTGAGCTGGTGGCCTCGGGCCCTCCTCTCCTCGCCTTGAGTCCCCAGGTCACCCAAATGCCCCTCTCTCCATCTGCACTGAGGAGGGGGTGGGTAAGTAGAACAGCCTTGTACCGTCTAGGATGAAGGTTGTGGGCCTCTGATTATAAAGATCTATTCAGGCCCACGCACCACCCCACCTCTGTTCACTCAATGCTCTTCCATTCACCCTGAGCAGACTCTGAAGTCATCGTGGGCCAAAGCCTTCCTTTGCAGACTAATCCTGAGGAAGGCTAATTTCCCCCAAACCTTTTCCATTAAAGAGGACCCTCCAGGGCTTCTCCCGACTGCCACCTTGTAAAATCTGATCTGATTGTTCCCTGCTCAGCCGTTTCCAGTCTTGGCTCTGTGTTGGGGCTTAAAGCTCTGGCAGCAGAGATACCCACCCTCACTGCTGTCTGGGTTGATTCTGACTCCCGACTCACAGTGCCACTTTAGGACCTGTGAAAATGTCACCGCAGCATCCCTATCCCGGAAACACCTACACCACCACTGGGCTTCCAAGTATAGCAAGAAGGCAAGAGGCCATGTGGACAGGAGAGAGACAGGGCAGCTGGACCCACGCGAGGGCACTGAAACCAGGGATCTAGATGGTCACACAGGGTGAGAGGACAGAGGGGTGATGAGAAATAATGCAAGAAGACAGTCTCCACTGAGGGTGCTTATTGAAATCTCTTCCCTGCCAGCAGTTGCCTGCTGCATCACATGTCAGGGTATGGAAGAGACAAGAGATTGAATACACCCCAGTGCCATGCACCCCAACTCCTTCCTCCTGGTGCAGTAATCTCCTCGCTAGCACATAGCCTGAAAATCTGCACCGAGAACTGGCGGCTCTCTGATAATGCAGGTTCTGTCTGGGCTCGGGATGGACCCAATCAAATTCCTCTTCCCAAGGCCACGTCCACACAGCCAGGCAGCCCCATCTTAACAGGAAAGGGAGGCACACAGGTCTCCAGGGGTGAAAAGCCCTGGGCTCCAAGCCAACAAGGGCGTGCTGCCCTCCCCTCTGGCTCCACTGCTGGGACGGCAGGAGACACAAGGCCATGCCCGAGAGCCATGCATTCCAGGGAAATGGCACTTGGGCTGTGTAATCACCAGGCTGCATCTCTCAATTACTCCTCCAGCCAGGCCTGCAATTACCACCTTACCCCTAATCGCTGAGTGTTTATTAGCAATGCTCTTCTCCTATAGAGCTGCTATTACTGTGCATTAATAACCAGGTAGACACTCAAGGTTTCCTTTTGAATACAGACCACCCAACTGCCAGCACCACTGCTTCTTAGGCCCCAGCTCCAGTGAGGTGAGGCTCTTCCTTTCTGCTCCATGTCTGGCCAAACTCATGTCAGAAGCTGGGGACAGACTGTGACTGGGCCAGGCCAGCACCCGGGGAAAGCACCAGGGCTTGCCCGCGTCCTCCTGCCTGTGCTGGTCCAGGCAGTTTCATGGCTACATGCGTCCTTCCCAGGGCCTGGGAAGGCTCTAAACTCTGGCTGCCAGCTTGCTTACCTCAAGTGACAAAAACACATTACCTGACAAAGAAACCTACCCACTCCACTGTTCAGACTGCTTTATCTGCTAAATTAAGGGCCTTTTCTGACATTTTCGCTCTTAACTCTGCGGTCTTCCATCCTCAGCTTTCCCCTCAATGGGAAAAGCCCTCTCAACAAATACTGAAAGACAGATGGGATATGTCTCCATGAGTTTTACCTCCCTTCAGGTTAAACATTCCCCACTTCTGTCCTCACCCTCTCGGGATGGGGGGTGAGGCCCTGCCCCACGTCAGGCTCCTTTGTACCTTCATCAGCTCACTCGCTCCATCACTAAGCACTCAGGAGCATCTGGCCAGCAGCAAGGACCTACACACAGAGCCAAGAGAGGAGGCCCACACTCTCCCAATTCCCTCAGAGCAGGAGGAGGGAAGGAACCTCGTCCTATCCCAGACACTGCAGACTTTGAGGCAGCTTCCCCGAGGACAGAACCTGCTGGTTATGAACTCGTGCACCGCTAGCTGCCACATCAGTGTGGAAAGGGAGAACTGGACGTGTGCAGTTTTGAGGCCACCCCTCCATCAAGGGCATTTCCCGAGATCACCTGGGGCACTCAGCCCCTGCTTCTTGCTCCCTTGAGCCCTCCTCTGCCCCATGCTGGGCCTTCTCTGCAAGGCATCTGTAACCCTTTAGTACAGACATGTACTAGAAGGCGGGAGCTACTGCTGCTCGTGCTGGGCCTGGATCCAAACCCCTCCAGCTCCCGACGACTGCATGATCCTGATGAGCCTCACAGGCTACTGGCTTCCTTGGTTCCCCATTTCCCAATCAAAGAAAAGTGGGAACTCCTTAGCCACCAAGCCTTTAACAATTGTGATGAAGCCACTGGACAGCTCTGAGTGGCATTATTCCCACATGCCAGCTCACCCCTGAATTCCTCAATATCCCCCCAGCACAGTACATAAGTCATCTCCCAACTTACTGCCTCTCCTGACCGTCTCCCATTTGGGGTCATGGAATACTACTTTCTCCCTCATGGCCCAGGCACTGTGTTTTGCACTGAAGAGGTAAGCACAGAAGTCAGTGGAATCAATGAACAGAACAAAAGAATAAACGAGTTATCCTTGGATTGTGCACCATCCTGTAACCCACACTAAAGGCCCTGGATGAAAAGTGTGATTAAGTAATAGGGCCCTTTTGATCCTCTTTCCCTCTCCTTAGAAATGCAATAGATAGGAAGCCCTGGCTCCTCCTTGCTTGTAGACTGGGGCAGCTTGATGCCAGGTAGTGAGACCAAGCCCAGCTTCACCTGAAATGCAAGGGCCAGTGCCCTGCAGAGGAGAAAACTGAGCCTGAGGGACGTGAAGGACACCACATAGGAAACTACAAACTAGGGCACAAGAGGAAGTGTGAGATGGGGACCCGTCCCCGACCCAGACCCCAGTGACATCAGTCTGGGTTCTGTGCTGGGGACTCGCATGCTGGAGCCCAGGACCACATCTATGACGCAGATGTGCGCAACGCCCCAGCCCCCAGAGCTCATCACCTCATTCTCTTCTTCATTGTGCAGCTGTTCCGTGTATGCGTCCGGCTTTCGAATCAGAGGGTCCACCAGCATCAGGAAGGCCATGTAGAGTAAGAGGGCACCCACCACTGACAGGTAGATGACGATGATGACCTGAGGACAAGACCCAAGCTGTCCTGTGAACCAGCCATGGTAAATCCGGGAGCTGCTGCCCCGAGCGCTGCACTGAGATGGACGGGGGACTGCTTGGGTTAGGCAGGAAAGAAGGTTGTGAAGAAAGTGGTGAAGTGCATTATGTGTAGGGTTGCTAACCCAGAAGGTCGGCAGTTTAAATTCATTAGCTGCTCAATGAAAGAAAGAAGAGATATAACCTTCTTTCATAAAGATTTATAGCCTTGGAAATCTTACTGTTGTTGTTGTTAGGTGCCATTGAGTCGATTACGACTCATAGTGACCCTTTGAGCAACAGATCGGTGCCCTGCCCTCTCCTGTGCCATCCTCACCATCTCGGACACACTTGAGCCCACTGATGCAGTCCTGTGTCAGTCCAACTGGTTGAGGGTCTTCTCTTTCACTCACCCTCCACTTTTGCAAGCATGATGCCGCTCTTCAAGGAATAGCCTCTCCTAGGAACGTGCCCAGAGTAGGAGAGATGAAGCTTTTCCATCCTTGCCTCAAAGGTGCACTCTTGGCTGCATTTTTCCAAGAGGGTTAAAATAATGAGTCAGAAATGACCTGATGGCAGGCTTGGTTTTGCTCTAAATTGAGGGATTTCAGCCAGAAACACTAGCCTAACGGCAGATATAAAGAAAACAGATTTTAAAGAAGCCTGAATCTGACCTCAAAAGGGTCCTAGATGCCTTACTGAGTGAGACAAGCACCGCCTACCAGATAATAGTGTATAAAAAGAATGGAAAGTAATCAGCTGTTATTACAGTTAGGGGCCGAGTCAACCACGACTCATGGCTAATAACAATCAGGCTAATTTGGTGTTTCCCAGTGAGAGTGCACTGGGCGAGTTAAGTAAAACTCTATCAGATATTTAGCCTTCTCGGTGTCTGTAACAGTGCCAGTAACACACTCTAGTTATTAACACAAAAGTGCCCTCATGCATCTCTAAATGGCCCCGGGGGAGTGGTGAATGCCTAACTGAGAGCTCTGAGGCCAAATCATTCACCCAAGACTCAAGCAAGTAAATGCGAGGAGATGTAACATGAAACCAGATAGGCTGACTCCATCTCTAATGTTCTTCTACTTCCTCCATGCCTGGCCACCATTGCCTCCTGGTCCCAGGAGTGGCCCTAGATTGAGGATAAAAATGCCATGTGAATTGAGGAGGGAACCCTGGGACTTCTGAGTGTGTCCAGCCCAGATGACAGTGAAATTCAGTTGGAATAACTTCTTCCCTAGTTGGGGGTATCCGTGTACATTCAGACATTTGGTTTGTACCTCAGAAAGGCTGGGTTTGGGGGCAAGTTTGGGGGGTGGGGTGTGCTCCTAGATAGAAAGACTGGAGGGAAATCTGAGGGATTAGGTAGTTACGTCTGATAAAGTCCTCATATGGTCCCTGTTAACCATGGAGAGGTGACATCTGGCTCAGAACGTAAGGTCTTGGCATCTGGACCCCAGACGGTGGGGTCCACTGGAGCAAGTTCAGAGGAAGGGGGCTTACAGGAGGGGCTGAGTCAGGTGGGAGGACGAAAGGGGTTCAGTCTGCACAGCTTGATGAGGTGATGACTATGAGGCTGGGGGACAGCAGCTGTTTTCTCTGACAGGTGAGAACATAAGAGGAGTTACAGGGTAGGGGGGAAATTGCTGGTCCCCCTCCCCAGGGAATGAGGGAAATAACAACTCCTCTCTAAAAGGAGACACACACTGGAGGATTTGGAAAGTTTTTTAAATTGATGAGAACTATTTTCTGGTACTATTTTTAGATTCTCCTAGATTCTTTTGGAAGCTGGAGTGGCATCCACTTCCTAAACAACATGCCTCCAAAAACTCCATGAACTTTGATAAATGTCGATAGTTGTAAAGGGACTTCAGGCCTTTTGTTCATAGGGTCGCTATGAGTCGTGCTCAACTCGAAGGCAATCAACAACCACTTAGATTCTTTGGAGGAAAAGCAGAATTAAGCATAAGAACTGTAACAGGAAATCAGAACGCACTGCTTGACATGGGATGGTTTCAACATGAACTAGGAGAGCTAGAGAAGGGAACTGGTTTCTGCTGAGTGTATTGCCAGGCCCAGGGGCAGACAAAGATCTGGAAAGTCCTTCTTCATCCTTCCTCATCTTTTCCTGGTGATGGGTCACATCTGTGACTGCTTTTCCAAATCCACTCAAATCATTGTTGAGAACAAGGTTCAAGGGACAAACAAAAGCAAGCATTCTGATGCCCTCATGCCCAGGTCCTAGCCTCAGGCCCCTGCCCTAGTCCACAGGTCTGGAGAATTTCTAGAGGAGTTCAACATTACTTTGAAGCTTAGTAGGCTCGAGGACGACAGGCACAGTTTCTATCTTGCTTACAGCACCTTGCACAGTACCTAGAAGGTACTGCCCAAAGGAAATTTGTTAAATGACTAGAAGAGATGAAGGGGGGAAATCAGAAAGAATCGAAGAAAGGGAGTCTCCACCATCGCTCCCAGGGCTCTTGTCTGCCAGTAACAGCAGCCACTGGAAAGACATCAAGCTCCAAGGAGACTAGAAGGCTGATCCTGTGTTAGCATCTAAGTCAGCCTAGAAGTAGCCTCACAGACCCTAGAATGTTCCAGGGTAAAGTGAAGGGCTGTGGGTGTAGAACATGCAGGAAGCAGGGAGGTGAGGGTCTATGATGGTATGCAGGGTCTCACAGATGGGCTCCCCCAGACAGTCCAGAGTCCTGGGTGCAGTGTTACCTTGATGGTGGTGGTGCTGCGCTCCTCATACCTGCACTCACACAGCAGGCAATAGGCCTCCACATCATGACCAGGCACCGGCATGGGCTCCACCACGTGCAGGCAGTTACTGCAATGCAGAGACAGACAGGATCACAGGGACAGGGCCAGGAAAGGAGCAGAAAACATCAAGGAAACTGGAGGCCTGGGGAGGTGAGAGGCAGGGTAGGAGATTGGTGAATGAGGTTCCCTGAGAGAAATTAGTAAGGGATTCAATAATGGCCAGGGTCTTCTACCCATCAGAACTAGTTCTCCAAATCGGACCTGTAATGTTGGTGCTAAAAATGTCAACATTACCAAAGTTTTGTTCTCAGCTGCTTCCTTTTGTTCATGGTAGATCCCCCTAGGTAGGCTCATCTATTCCTCATTTATCGACCCTCTTATTACCTGGCATTTTTGCATTTACAACAATCGTTTTTAAAAAATGTTCTATCCAACTATTTTGTGCATTAATGACACCTGTCTGGCACTAACAAACACAACAGTATGAAGTGCAAACAATGCTGGCTGTGCCAGCTACGTGTCAGCTTGGCTGAGCCATGATTCTCAGTGGTGTGGCATCTATGCGATGATGTAATTTAGTAATGATGCTATTGCCAGTGTTGTTACGTGCCATCGGGTCAGAACTGACCCATAATTAACCCTTCAATGAGTTTTCGGAGACTGTAAATCACACAGGAGACTACACATTTTTCCCCCAAGGCACAACTAGTGGATTCGAACCACCTGCCTTTGGGTTGGCAGCACAACTCCTTACCCACTATGCCACCAAAGCTCCCTAGTAATGATGTAGTCATTCTTCATTTCTGCATGACACCGATTTTCACCTAATGACTTTAGAACCTAACAATGTCGATAAGGGAAGAGGAAGAGTGGATACAATCCCAAGATAACCACTCAGGGCTGATGAGTCATAGGTTAGAAATCTCCTGTCAAGACTACTATCCTACATTCTGATAACTCTTATCCCTGCTCTCCTACCCTTACCAGTGCAGGTGGCATCAAGGTGTTCCTCCCCACCCTCCACACCCACCACCCCCTCACACCCACCCCTCCACACTCTGCCCTCAATTCCCCAGCCCTGCAGACGAGCTCCTTGGTCTGTGTTCCTAATTACAAAGAACAAGTTCCGTTTCTGTTTCACTAACCAAATCGAGAACCAGGGAATCATCTTTGACAAGGCTTTCCCCCATCATTTATAAATTAATCAAATGCCATTGATTTTTATCTCCTAAAAAAACCCAAACAAACCCTAAAATGAACTTTATTTTTTTTTTTTACAACTGACCCAGTCTCCTTATTGCCTACTGCACCGTAGGTTAACCCTGGCCCAACACTACCTTCACACAGCTGTAAGCCAAGTTATCTAAAAGAAATTCTGACCACGTCAACACAGGGTCAGGGTAGAGTGTTCTGAGTGTCCACTCCAGCCTTGTGAAGCTGTCCATCACTTGTCACTGCTCACCCGCCCCTCACCCTTCAATGATGTTCCCAAGATGAGCCATGTCCACTGCCTTGACGTGTCCCACACCCTCTACCAGGAATGTGTTGTTTTGTCAGCCACCCATCACTTCTGCATCCTGCTTTGCCTTCCAGATTCAGTTAGAATCTCACTCCTCCTCTCAATAGCCAGCTCCCCCCATTCATCTCTCTCACAGTGCACTGTAACCATCATTTTCTATGTACTGTCTCCTCAGTACACGTCGTTTCTTAAAGACAGGAGTCATATCCCAGCCATGTCCACATCCCCAGCGTTTCATGCTTGCTAGAGCAGGGCTCTGTAACTGCTAAATGAGCTACATGCTCTCTCTAGTCTAAGCCCACTTTTACCTAACCATGCTCCTGAGTAAGATGGGCTAAACATCACAGGTCCCACATTTAAAAAGGGAAACCGAGGCACAGGAAGGCAAAGTGCCATTTTCTCAGCAGTGGAAACCAGGATGCAGATGCAGGTTCTTGCACTCAGTGAGGGTGGACTGAGCTCCCATCTCGAGACTCTCTTTCAACCTCCTCAAATCAACATGCTTCCATTCACTTGGTTTATAGGCAACAGGAAGAATGCCAAACACCATACAGAACTCGTCCTTATCTTTACCATTCAGGAAAGCAAAGTCATAATCCCTTGGGTTCATAAAGGTGACCAGGATCATGGTGGGATGGACAGGCAGGCCTGGCCCTACCCCAGATCTGCCACATCCAGCGTTTGTCCCTGGGATATTTAGAAGTTGGAGATGATGACATTTAAGGCCCCTTCAGTTCTGACAGGGCCTGGGATCTCTCTCAGACTATCCCAGAAAACAATCAGGCCTGTCCTTCAGAGCCCCCAAAGGTCCTTCGAGACATGGCATCAAGGACATGCAGTGTGAAGACCAAGTGGTACCCAATATGTGGTATTAAGACCCAGTATCAGGTTTTTTGCTGTGGAGCAGATGTTGACCCCATGTGTATCAAGAGTACAAGTGTACCCGATAGAACTGTTTGTCAATGGCTGGCTTTTCATATATAGATTACCAGGACTTCCATCCAAGGCATCTCTGGATAGAGATCAACTCCCGACTTCCAGTTGGCTGTTGAGCACATTAACCCTTTGGACCAGCCAAGGACTCCAGTATGTGGCACACGGGAATGTACTGAAACCTTTTCTGATCCCAGTTTCACCTCTGCGCGTGAGAGGGCCTTCCCTGATAATACTATATGCACCCTGTCTGGCCATCCACACAGTCTCCTGGAGGTACTGCTGGACAAGGTACACATGTGGTCCTAGGCTGACATTCCTGATTAAAGGAAACATAACCTTCCTTTCTCTAGCAAATCTCTACAAGCCTCTTGGGCATTCGCTCTTTCCTCTTTCTGAGCCCCTTGGGGACCTGGGTTTGAAAGATCTCTCCAGTGATGCAGTCAGATATATAGACTTATCGCAGGGCCAAGATGGTTTATCAGGCGAGCCGGGAGGAGCTGAACCCAACAATTCTTCAAATCAGGACCCTGTTACTCAAAGCAAGAGACTGAGAAGTAAGGGGAAGAGCAAAAATGGAACTATACTATTTCTGGTAGTTTTGTCTTGCTATGTGTCTCCTTTTGCAGATCAATGACACTGAAACACTTCATTGACTGGTTAGGAAATGGTAAGTGGAAAAGGCTAAAGGGAAAAACAAGCTAGATTTAATTCTTGTTCTTCTGCTTATTCTGTGATTGCATATATGTTGTAGCAGATATGTGGCATAGTTCATAGAGTTGTGCTGCTGACCCAAAAGTGGTACCTCTGCTGGTTCTAGTCCCCTGTCCACTCTGTGAGAGAAAGACTGGCAATCTCCTCCTGTGTGTGTGATTTTACAACCTCGGAAACCTGCTAGGTCAGCTATGACTCAGTTCCAAGCAACTTGACAATAATGAGCTCATACCTGAGGGTTTCAGTTCCCTCGTGTACAGATGGACGAAGAACTAGATGAGTGTCTTTCAAACTCTACTCTTTTGAGTAACCCAGGATCTACTGTGAAGGACGAAAGAGGTGGTGAGGGGGGTCACTGAGGGGTTCATCTCTTTTCAGTCAGAACAACTCTTTATGCTTTTCACATTTTATCTCTAAAAAGACCTTGTTTTGTAGAAGGAACTTATTTTTTAAGTTTGAAATCCACTGAACTAGTCAGCATTTTCAGTTCCTTCCTGCTCTAGGATTCTTTGTGTGGCATATCTCCTGGCCTGATCCATCAACGGACAAAAGTGTTTGGGTTTCTGTCTTTATATAAGCATGTGGTGGTGAGCTTCCAACACTAGATGGCAGGATACCGACAATGCCCCAGGGGTAAAAACAAAACCATCGCCACAGGGTCAATGCCAACTCAAAATGACCCTGGAGGGCAGAGCAGAACAGAACATGGGGATTTAAATCTTTACAGAAGAATGCCTTCTCTTTTTTCCAAGAAAGATGTATTGAAAGCAGAAAGGTGTGGCCTTTGGGTTAGCAGCACAACTCCCTACAGACTATCCACGAGAGCTCCCTAAACTTTGGATTGACAATCCGATCTTTTAACCAGTAACACAGAAAAAACAAGTGGCTTGGCCATTAAATCTAAAGACTGCAATTCAGACTGTTTTGGCTTAATTCTGTACAGCGTAGTGGAAGTGGTCTCTTAGCAATGGGCCAAGGCAACACCAGAGTGGAATTGTACCAGAAACCAGAAGAAAACTCTCATGCCGAACCCTCATCTCCACCCCTAGGAGGCTCTACCCTTAAAGAAGTACCAAGCAAGTTCAGGCCAACACCCACTGCCACTGGATCCTACAAGCCCCCGGCCACTGGGTCCTGCCCTCCTGCCTCAGTTTCCACCCACTACCACTCTTAATGGAGCGGTCTTAAAATTCCTCATTTAAGATTGTTTATAATGAAGTCTCCTAAACCAAACTTCAGTAAGAAGTAAGGTATAAAACAGCCCCACAATTACCCCCCCCCAAAAAAAGAAAAAAAAAAACACAAAAAAACCCACTATAGCCCCAAAGATCCAGAGAGAAGACTCCTTCCTCTATGGGTGCCTGAACTTGGATTTTTAGAACACAGTAATTCTAACACACAGATAAAGCAGTTGAAATCGAGTCAGCGTCAACTCATGGTGAGCTTGTGTGTATCAGTAGAACTGAGATCTACGGATCTCAATGATTGATTTTCTGAAGTACCTCGTCTGATAGCGCTGGGTTGTCTGTGGCTGGCCTGGAGGCTCCTGTGCAGTGGTTCCACTCTAGAAGTTGGTTTCTTGCACCTTGCTGAGGGTCATGTAAGGGAAGTTTTGGTTTATGTTATTGGTTTTTTTCCCCCTCCAATGTTGGGATGAACATTTTTTAAGTGGTACAGCAATTGTCTATTTGCTGTACTGAAGTAATCTGGAGTTGCTGTGATGTTGAACACTGTGCCATAGTTGTGTCAAATACCATACGGATTACTCATCATGGACAATGCTTTGCGGAGCTTCCAGATTGATTCAGGTTTGGAGGCGGGAGTGGCATCCACTTCCTTAACCAGATGCCTCTGGAAACTCCATGAACATAGAGAAATGAGGTTAATTATAGAACAGAGTT